GCGTATGAGCGGGCGGTGCAGCGTATGAGCGGGCGGTGCAGCGTATGAGCGGGGCGGTGCAGCGTATGAGCGGGCGGTGCAACGTATGAGCGGGCGGTGCAGCGTATGAGCGGGCTGTGCAGCGTATGAGCGGGCGGGGCAGCGTATGAGAGGGCGGGGCAGCGTATGAGCGGGCGGTGCAGCGTATGAGCGTGCGTGCAGCGTATGAGCGGGCGGTGCAGTGTATGAGCGAGCGGTGCAGCGTATGAGCGTGCGGTGCAGCGTATGAGCGGGATGTGCAGCGTATGAGCAAGCTGTGCAGCGTATGAGCGGGCTGTGCAGCGTATGAGCGGGCTGTGCAGCGTATGAGCGGGCGGTGCAGCGTATGAGCGGGCGGTGCAGCGTGTGAGCGGGCGGTGCAGCGTGTGAGCGGGCGGTGCAGCGTATGAGCGTGCGGTGCAGGGTATGAGCGTGCGGTGCAGCGTATGAGCGGGCGGTGCAACGTATGAGCGTGCGGTGCAGCGTATGAGGGTGCGGTGCAGCGTATGAGGGTGCGGTGCAGCGTATGAGCGTGCGGTGCAGCGTATGAGCGTGCGGTGCAGCGTATGAGCGGGTGGTGCAGCGTATGAGCGTGCGGTGCAGCGTATGAGCGGGAGGTGCAGCATATGAGCGGGAGGTGCAGCGTATGAGCAGGCGGTGCAGCGTATGAGCGGGCGGTGCAGCGTATGAGCGTGTGGTGCAGCGTATGAGCGGGCGGTGCAGCGTATGAGCGGGCGGTGCAGCGTATGAGCGGGCGGTGCAGCGTATGAGCGGGCCGTGCAGCGTATGAGCGGGCGGTGCAGCGTATGAGCGGGCGGTGCAGCGTATGAGCGGGCGGTGCAGCGTATGAGCGGGCAGTGCAGCGTATGAGCGGGCGGTGCAACGTATGAGCGGGCTGTGCAGCGTATGAGCGGGCGGGGCAGCGTATTATCGGGCGGTGCAGCGTATGAGCGTGCGGAGCAGCGTATGAGCGGGCGGTGCAGCGTATAAGCGGGCGGTGCAGCGTATGAGCGTGCGGCGCAGCGTATGAGCGTGCTGTGCAGCGTATGAGCGTGATGTGCAGCGTATGAGCGTGCGGTGCAGCGTATGAGCGGGCGGTGCAGCGTATGAGCGGGCGGTGCAGCGTATGAGCGGGCGGTGCAGCGTATGAGCGGGCGGTGCAGCGTATGAGCGTGCGGTGCAGCGTATGAGCGGGCGGTGCAGCGTATGAGCGGGCAGTGCAGCGTATGAGCCTGCGGTGCAGCGTATGAGCGGGCGGTGCAGCGTACGAGCGTGCAGTGCAGTGTATGAGCATGCAGTGAAACGTATGAGCGTGTGGTGCAGCGTATGAGCGGGCGGTGCAGCGTATGAGCGGGCAGTGCAGCGTATGAGCGGGCGGTGCAGCATATGAGCGGGCGGTGCAGCGTATGAGCGTGCGTGCAGCGTATGAGCGGGCGGTGCAGCGTATGAGCGGGCGGTGCAGCGTATGAGCGTGCGGTGCAGCGTATGAGAGTGTGGTGCAGCGTACGAGCGTGCGGTGCAACGTACGAGCGTGCGGTGCAGCGTATGAGCGGGCGGTACAGCGTATGAGCGGGCGGTGCAGCTTATGAGCGGGCGGTGCAGCGTGTGAGCGGGCGGTGCAGCGTGTGAGCGGGCGGTGCAGCGTATGAACGGGCGGTGCAGCGTATGAGCGGGCGGTGCAGCGTATGAGCGGGCGGTGCAGCGTACGAGCGGGTGGTGCAGCGTATGAGCGTGCGGTGCAGCGTATGAGCGTGCGGTGCAGCGTGTGAGCGTGCGGTGCAGCGTGTGAGCGGGCGGTGCAGCGTGTGAGCGTGTGGTGCAGCGTACGAGCGTGCGGTGCAGCGTACGAGCGTGCGGTGTAGCGTACGAGCGTGCGGTGCAGCGTACGAGCGTGCGGTGCAGCGTACGAGCCGGCGGTGCAGCGTATGAGCGGGCGGTGCAGCGTATGAGCGGGCGGTGCAGCGTATGAGCCGGCGGTGCAGCGTATGAGCGGGCGGTGCAGCGTATGAGCGGGCGGTGCAGCGTATGAGCGGGCGGTGCAGCGTATGAGCGGGCGGTGCAGCGTATGAGCGGGCGGTGCAGCGTATGAGCGGGCCGTGCAGCGTATGAGCGGGCGGTGCAGCGTATGAGCGGGGCGGTGCAGCGTATGAGCGGGCGGTGCAACGTATGAGCGGGCGGTGCAGCGTATGAGCGGGCTGTGCAGCGTATGAGCGGGCGGGGCAGCGTATGAGAGGGCGGGGCAGCGTATGAGCGGGCGGTGCAGCGTATGAGCGTGCGTGCAGCGTATGAGCGGGCGGTGCAGCGTATGAGCGGGCGGTGCAGCGTATGAGCGTGCGGTGCAGCGTATGAGAGTGCGGTGCAGCGTACGAGCGTGCGGTGCAACGTACGAGCGTGCGGTGCAGCGTATGAGCGGGCGGTGCAGCGTATGAGCGGGCGGTGCAGCGTATGAGCGGGCGGTGCAGCTAGCTTATGAGCGGGCGGTGCAGCGTGTGAGCGGGCGGTGCAGCGTGTGAGCGGGCGGTGCAGCGTGTGAGCGGGCGGTGCAGCGTATGAGCGGGCGGTGCAGCGTATGAGCGGGCGGTGCAGCGTATGAGCGGGCGGTGCAGCGTACGAGCGGGTGGTGCAGCGTATGAGCGTGCGGTGCAGCGTATGAGCGTGCGGTGCAGCGTGTGAGCGGGCGGTGCAGCGTGTGAGCGGGCGGTGCAGCGTGTGAGCGTGCGGTGCAGCGTACGAGCGTGCGGTGCAGCGTACGAGCGTGCGGTGCAGCGTACGAGCGTGCGGTGCAGCGTACGAGCCGGCGGTGCAGCGTATGAGCCGGCGGTGCAGCGTATGAGCCGGCGGTGCAGCGTATGAGCCGGCGGTGCAGCGTATGAGCGGGCGGTGCAGCGTATGAGCGGGCGGTGCAGCGTATGAGCGGGCGGTGCAGCGTATGAGCGGGCGGTGCAGCGTATGAGCGGGCCGTGCAGCGTATGAGCGGGCGGTGCAGCGTATGAGCGGGCGGTGCAGCGTATGAGCGGGCGGTGCAGCGTATGAGCGGGCAGTGCAGCGTATGAGCGGGTCGTGCAGCGTATGAGCGGGCGGTGCAGCGTATGAGCGGGGCGGTGCAGCGTATGAGCGGGCGGTGCAACGTATGAGCGGGCGGTGCAGCGTATGAGCGGGCTGTGCAGCGTATGAGAGGGCGGGGCAGCGTATGAGCGGGCGGTGCAGCGTATGAGCGGGCGGTGCAGCGTATGAGCGGGCGGTGCAGCGTATGAGCGGGCGGTGCAGCGTATGAGCGGGCGGTGCAGCGTATGAGCGTGCGGTGCAGCGTATGAGCGGGCGGTGCAGTGTATGAGCGGACGACTTGCAACGGAACAGCATTGATTCTTTGGGTTGATGGTTTCGCCTCCCACAGGAAAGTGCTTTTCTTGCAACAGCAGCCGTGCCCATTTCAGAGTACTGACCCCACATGCTCTATAACACGCCCATCTTGAAATTCTTGCCCCAACCCACCTTTACCTGCCCACAGCGACCCATCTTGCAGTACCGCACCCCACCTTGTACTGCAGGCCCCTCCCACCTTGAACTGCAGGCCGGAGTCGGTCTCAGTGTAGTCGGCATACTTCATGCGGCTCTTGCCGTAGTCCTTACCCCTCAGCGCCGGCACTGCCGCCCCCCAAACACACACAGTGGACGGGACGGGCGGTGGGGGAAGGGGTTGAGCGGGAGGGAAGGGGGGTCTTTGAGGGAAGGAATTGGGAGGGGGTACAATGCACGCCGTTTACATTCAGGGAGGGTTTGTGCATTCAAGTGCGTGAGTGGCTGTGCGGCACACACATGGCTGCTGCACGTACTGTCCGCGAAATTCGACTCAGTGGCCTCGGCCACGTCAGCAGGGAGCAGGGAGACGGCGACGGACGCGACGAGCGCGGAGGCAGCGGCGGCAGCCCCGCCGAGAGCCACGCCTCTGCGCCCCACGCGAGGTGATTCCTCCTGACCCGCTTGCTGCTGCTGCTGGTCGTCCTGCGAATTTCGCGAAGGCTGTGGCGAATTGGTGGAGCGGAAAGAAGCGGATGCGGCCACGTGGCGCCGCTTCGTGCGAGTCGCCAGGGACGATACATTTCTGGAAGACCCGTCGAGCTGCCACAGCAATGGCGAAAGAAAGAGAACCAGAGCAAAGAGGGCATGCCTTTCTCAGCATTTTGGTAAAGTTTCCAGAAATTCTGATGGACGAGGTGGATTATTGAGTTGCAATATTGAGGACGTCACCTCTCCAGTGGTCCGCGTCAATTGGAGCGACGGCGCTGCTTGAACGCTCATCATTAGGAACGCCATCACGACCTAAAATGCGAAGACGAGCTAGAACAACCGGACTAACGCTCAAGCTATTGCCACTTCCGCAGCCTCACCACACAACGAGACGGGCAGCGACACGGGACAATGGCGGAACGGGCCTGTGAACTCGCTCGCGGCGGACCAGTGGGAAGAATGTTGTTGCTGCTTGCTTGAGTTGATGGGAGGATATTTTACACGAACTGGTGGGCGGAAACTTGGAATTGCCGCCGAAACATTCTAGGTCGTGTTTCGATGAAAGAGGGAGTAGCGAGCTAAAAGTGCAACAATCACTTACAAGTGATATACAGAATGAAATCACTTGCGAGCGTTTGGTGATACAAATCTTGAAATTGTTTCGAGCTGTTTATTACAGAAGAAGGCCCCATATTCGTAGTTGTGTGCCTAAAGACAGTTTGAATCGCTATAACGAGTATCTCTGAGATAGACACACAGAAGGTTTCGTTTGCATTCCTACACCAACTTCAACTTATTCCACCCGTTTTGGATAAGCCACTCCCTCTCCAACTCACCATTATTCAGCTGAACTCGATACTCCCAAGATACCTTGTGCCGAGTCCCGCTCTAGTTTCCGGACTCGCTCGGATAGCGACACTAGGCCGCTTCCTGTCGCGAGTCGTGATCAGCGGCCGGCGGATCAATAATTAACGATGGAGGAGGAAGCGGACTCTCCGCTCCTACGCTTTCTGATCGACCTTCTCAAGCCCATGTAAGCTCAACGCTAAACCTTACTCCTAACCGTCTCCTAAATTGTTACTTTCAATCCCTTTCCGCATCGAGGACGTCGCATTTAGATCCCATTTCTCACGTCCTTAGCAGTATCTAAACCCTAATTGTATTATTTTCTGCTGTGTCTCATGGCGATATACTGGCATTCCGAGCGCGCGCAGATCGGAGGCGGATCCGGCGCTGCTGGCGAACTACGTGGTGGCGCTGCTGAAGAACAGCAAGCCGCACGACGAGCTGCGCCGCCTCTGCCTCGACCAGCTGCAGGACTTCCTCACCGACGGTACGTCGCGCGCACCGCATGAGCAATTGCACGTCGCGGAAGGTGCGTCGTACGCAGTTCATGATGAACCGCTCGACTTCCCCTTGTGTAAGGTGGGATTGCGTGGATGAATTGCATGTCTTTCTCATGCATTTCTTCCTCACCGAGGTGTGTTCTAGAGAGCTATTCGCGCGCGCGGTTTTTCTCATTTGCGGTCACGCCCTAACTCATCGTCACATTCAAGATCGCCTTGTTCGCTCGCGTCGCTTGCCTCATTGCGGCAATCTGGAGGTTACTTGTTTTACCCTAACTTGCTCCAGAAGGAAAGAGGGGGACTAGTGTGCCTGACTTTGCCAATAATTCTTTGGGCACCGGAGGATCATGCAATCGGGGTCCGAAAGATAATGCCGTAAGTTAACTCGCCAGAATATGCTTTTTGCTTGATTTCCTCATTGCCGGGTTTCAGAAACTGAGGGTTTTGTAGCGAAGCTGTTCGACGCCCTCGAGCGGGGGGAGATCTCGCTAGAAGACGCGGAGGATGAGAACGCGGGGGAAGACGTCGACGCGGACAAGAAGCGGAGTCGGGGGGACGACGCGGAACCCGCGGAAGCGAATGAGTCCGGGAGAGACGGGGGAAGAGGCGGAGGGAAGAGCGGAGGCAAGCGGGGTGATGGGGGCCAGCGGGGCGCGGATGAGGAGGGGGGTAGGGGGAGAGGGGGCAAGAGAAGTGGCACGTCGCGAGAGAGGGGGGTGAGGGAAAGGGCATTGGGGGATGAGGAGAAGGAGCGGGACGAAGATGGTGGTAAAGGCGGTGAGAGGGGCGAGAGGGAGCCGTATCCCGCGGCTGAGGCGGAGGCGGAAGAGAGGGCGGAAGCAGGGGGGGAGGAGCGGGAGGAGGAGGAGGAAGGGCGGCGGAAGCGGCACGAGGAGGACGAATCGAGCGACGATGACGACGATAGAAACCACAAGCACAGGCGCAGAGGCGGCGAGCGCACGTTCCGCGACGAGGGCGCGGCGGGGGAAGGAGCACGCAGCAAAGACCCCGCGGAAGGGCGCGGTAGCGTGCACTCGCGCCTAGAGGGCGCGCGGGATAGAAGAGGAGGTGACTTCAGCGGGGGTGGCGCAGGCAGGTCGTTCCGCAGCCGCGACGGCCCCCGTTCCTTCAGGCCCGGGGATGGGGGCGGCATGGGCGGAAGGGGCGGGCCTATGGGGCGGGATTTTCCCCGCGTGGGGGGCCCTGGTCCTGGGCAGCCTATTCTAGGTCCGCAGATGGGCATGCCGCGGTTCCCCATGGGGGGAATGCCAGGGGGAATGGGGGGGCGCGCGGGCCTCCTCAGGGGCATGCCTGGGCGCTTTGACGGGGGCCCGGGGAGGGGCATGGGGGAGCAGTGGGGCATGGGGGGAGCAGCGGGCGCAATGCCTGGTATGTTGCCCGGCCGGGTCGGGCCTGGGATCCCTCCCCCCGGCCTCCCTGGTGCCCCTATGCCTGGCGCGGGGATCGCAGGGGCAGGCCCGGGCATGGGGAACGGCATGGGCGGGGGCATGGGGAGGGGGTTCTTCCCCGGGAGAGGCGGGGGAGGGGGTCCGGGGCTTATCAGACCAGGGTTTGGCGCAGGGGGACCGGGCTTTGGAATGTTCCCAGGGGGCGGGGGCGGGGGAGGGATGCCGGGAATGGGCGGGGGAAGGATGGGCGCAGGCGGAGGGGGAAGGGGCGGGAGGGGAGCAGGCGAGGAAGGGGGTGCGGGAATGGTGGGCGGAGGGGGAGCAGGTTCGGGGGGGCCCACGGGGAAGCGCGCGCGGTGCCCTGACTTTGAGGAGAAGGGGTTCTGTCTGAAGGGCGACCTGTGCCCGCTGGACCACGGCAACTACCGCATCGTTGTGGAGGACATGCAGGTGAGTCGGAGGGGTGTGTAGGTGTGCGGAGGGGCGTGCAGGTGAGACGGAGGGGCGTGCAGGTGCGCATAAGGCACAGGGAGGCGTGCAGGTGAGACGGAGGGGCGTGCAGGTGAGACCAGGGTCGTGAAGGTGCGCAGAAGGGGTTCTGTCTGAAGGGCGACCTGTGCCCGCTGGACCACGGCAACTACCGCATCGTTGTGGAGGACATGCAGGTAAGACGGAGGGGTGTGTAGGTGTGCAGAGGGGCGTGAAGGTTAGCAGCACAAGTGACAGGGAGGCACACGGCACGGGTGAGATGAGGCAGCATGCGGACCTTACTTGGACGCACTCTTTCATCTCAATGTCCTTCCTTAGTCTCCATCTCTCTCCATCCTCTCATCTTCTCCTTGCGTTCGCTTCTCTCTTCAACCACGCACCCCCTTCCCCTTTTCCCCCCCCCACCCCACCCCAGTCCCTGCAGCAGCTCAATCTTCCTCTCCCGCCACAATCCCTCGGCATGCCGCCAAACTCCGCCGCCCAGCCGCCGCCCGGCCAGCTGGCCGGCACACGGCGACCGAGAGTAGAAGGCGGCAGGGGAGGCAGAGGCAGAGGAGGGGAAGCGGGGGGACGAGGAGGAGGCGAGAGCGGGGCAGGGGACGGGGGGGAGGAGCAGGAGGGGGTGGGGGTATCGGCAGCAGTGGACGGCGGGGGAGGGGTGATGGCAGACGAGGGGGAGCATTACGACCCGGACGAGGCTCTGTGGGTGCATGACTCCAAGAGGGCCAAGGGCATGAGGGAAGTGCGGGCGTACGGGGGCGATGGGGCGGACGGGAACGGGCGCATGCAGGGGGGCAGGCGGGGTGCGCCTGGTGAGGTGAGCGTTTGGGACCGGATTGGGCCTGCTGGTGCTGGTGGGAGGGGCGGGGGAGGGGTGGGTGGTGGGGATGGGGGCATGGGGGCAGCAGGTGGGGATGTGGGGATGGAATACACTCCTGACGGGGGCTTTAACATGGGGTACAATCCGCAGTTTCCAGGGAATTTCGGGGGCGGAATGGGGCCGGAGTTTGGAGGAAACGGGGCAGGGGAGGATGGGCAGGGCATGGGACCGGGCATGGGACCGGGCATGGGACCGGGCATGGGACCGGGCATGGGGCAAGGAGGGTATGAGAGGAGAGGAGGACCAGGGGAGGGGGGCTGGCAGGGGCCGCAGGGGCAGCCCGGGCGGGGGGGCAGAGGGGACTGGGGGGGGAGAGGCAGGGGGGAAGGGGGCATGGGCGGGGGGAGAGGCCGTGGGGGAGGCAGCGAGCGGAACCCGGACCTGAAAGCCCAGATGACCGTCTTTGTGAACGGGATTCCATCAGAGCTCACAGCAGGCAAGGGTCTGCAAGCATCGCTGATCAAGCACTTCTCAAAGTTTGGTCCGGTGGTGGATATCAAGGTGCATGGGGACAAGGGCCGTGCGTTTGTGCAGCTGGGTGCGAGGGAGCATGCGGCAGCGGCGATTGCAGCACCAGATGCGGTGCTAGGGAATAGGTTTATCAAGGTGTTCTGGGCTAATTTTGATCTTCAGCCTGATCCTGCCTCTGCTGCTGCCGCAGCTGCGGCGACTGCGGCTGCAGCGGCTGCCGCAGCTGGTTCGGCAGGTGAAGGAGGCCCGGGAGCAGGCTCGGTGGAGGGTGGGAAAGGGAGCGGCAAGGGTGATGCTAGTGCTGGCAAGGGTGGGGCGAGTGCAGGGGGGGCAGCGGCAGCAGCAGCAGCAGTTGACCCTGCAGAGGCAGCAGCAAAGGCGAAGGCGAAGTTGGAGGAGTTGAGAGCGATACAGAAGAAGAAAGAGGCGCTGCTGCGGGAGCAGATTGAGAAGCGCCGGCTGTACCTGGAGCGACTCAAAGAGGCCAGCCAACAGAAACAGCCCGCTGCTGCTGCTGCTGCTGCTCCAGGTGCCTCCCCAGGTGCTGCTTCAGGTGTTTCCCCAGCAGCAGGTGGCAGCGCAGCACAGGCAGCAGCAGGCAGCGCAGCCACTCCTGCCGCAGGTGCCACTGCAGGTGACGCTGGGGCAGCGCGTGCAGGTACAGGCGCAGCAGGGGCGGAGGGAGCAGCAGCAGGAGCAGCAGCGGCAGCAGCAGGGGGCAAAGCAGTGGGCGCGTCTCCCAGTGCCCCCTGTTCCCCTCACTCTCCTGCCGGCCCAGCACCCTACATGGGCGGCAGAGGGAGAGGGCGGGGCGGGTACGGTGGGTATGGAGGGGGGTACCACTACGGGTGGAGCGGAGGGGGAGGGGGGCCGGGAGCGGGTGCAGGGGGCGCGTGGGGGAATAAGTTCAAGCTGGACAATCGCACCACTGTGGTGCGCGTCACACCGCCCATTCCTGAAGCCATCACCGAGGTGAGCGAGCGTGGGCCACCCTGGCTGGAGTCTCTGAAGTAAAGGAACGCAGTCACTTTCACCTCCTGGTTTTGTGTCCTCCGATCTCTTCGTTTCCTTGGGATCTCACTCTGTTTCCCCTGTTTTCAGCAAACTCCCTTCTCCAAACCTCCTTTCGCCACCAGCACAGGCGAGCATGCCATGGGGAGCACTCGAGCGTGTGTGGGCACATGGGGGTGTGGTCTCTACATTTCTTAGTCCCCTCCTTTGTCTTTCCCCTTCAATTCTCATCCCACCGTGCAGGCGAGCATGCTGTGGGAGCACTTCAGTGCGTGTGGGGAGGTGGTGAGCGTGGAGGTGGAGGGAGGCGGCACAGCTGTCACGCCGACCAGCGCCGTCCGCGTGCGCTTTGCGTCTCGTCCCGTAGCGGAGTATGCGTATATGAACGGGAGGGTGCTGGCGTCAGGGGATGCACTCACCCTCGCCTGGGGGCCTCCCGCCACCACTCCCCATACTCCCGCTGCTGCCACTGCTGCGGCTGCTGCCTCTGCTTCCCCTGCTGCGGCCGGAGCGAAGGCAGCAGGTGTTTCGCCTCTCAAGGCTGCAGCAGGCGGGGTACAGAAGGCAGCTGCAGGAGCGGCCACAGCGCCAGCAGCAGCAGCAGCGCCAGAGGCAGTATCCTCTGGGGGGGCTGCGCTTACTGCTCCTCAGTCTGCTGCTAACGGCAGCAATGCTGCTGCTGCTGCCCCTGCTGCTGCTGTTGCTGCTGCCAGTGCTGCTGCTGCCTCAGGTGCTGGCACAGCTGGTGGGGGAGCAGCAGAGGGGCAGTAGCAGGAGCAGGAGGGGCAGGGGTGCAGGGTGGGGTGCCAGGACACACTATTTAGAAGAAAGGTGAGTGAGAGGGGCTGCCCTGGTGGGTGGCTGGTCTCTCTCGCCTCGCTACGACCTCATTGCTGCGCGCCTCACTGGGTGATTGGCTGGGCCTCACTCACATTCACTGTTGACATCATTGTCATGCGGCAATTTCTGTTGCGTGGAGGCGCACGCAACAGGAATGCTCTCAACATGCGTGCGCCTCCTCGTTCCCATTCTAGACTCGACTCAGTTGGAGCGCAGGAGTTGCCTGCATTGCTTTCTTTGTTTCTGTTAATTGACGTGTTGTAGAGAAAGTAAATTTAATGCTAGGTATACCGTACTTGTGGACGTGATAGGGTGGATATCTGACTTGCTGATGTGGCTCTAATGTTTCTGATTCACTCTTTAATGTCACTAATTTGATTGTTTATCGAAAGCAAAGTGGAAGCCCGGGCTGTTCATACCGGATATACGTTTCCTTCCGTTCATGCACTCTCTGTGATTGCCGGGGGGCAATCACTTTATCGAATCTGCATCCATGGCGAGGCACGTCGCGCTCATCCGCGCGGTTAGGTCCGGAGCTAGGCTCGGCGAGTCCGGCAATGCTTTCCTGCCGTCGCGGTTGCTCGCGGGTGGCCGTCAGATCGGACGGCCAGAATGCGGTCTCAGTCACTCCGCACCCGCCGAGCGCGCGGAAGTCGACCGCTTGTTCTTGGGGGGAGATCCGCGCGGCTATCCGCGCACTAGCGCGCGCTTCCTATCCTCCTTCGCCTCCTCAGAGGCAGACTCTGGAATTGCGCCCGCGACGCGAACTCAATCCGACGGCTCCCCGCACGCGCCGGCAGAATCACCTTCCACTCCTACTTTTGCCGGCTCTGAGCACCTTGACCGGCTGGACAGACGGCTGACCGTCACAGGCGCCGGAGACAGAGCGGGAGAGGATGTCACGACGGCTACGGGGCACGCTGATGTCCATGGGGACTCGAGAGGGGACTCGAGAGGGGACTCGAGAGGGAATACAGGGAGAGGGAATAAAAGCAGATCTGATGCCATCAGCAGCGCTGATCGCTACCATGACAATGATGGCGGCGCGGGAATGCGCCATGGTGACATGGATTGTAGTAGCGGTTGTTTGAGCGGCCTTGCGTTTGGATCGAGTCGCACGGATCCTAGGGATTGCCGAGATGGTGACGTTTCAAGCGGTACGAGCCATTCAGCAAGTGACATGCGGTATGGCCGTGAGAAAGTGGGTGAAATTGCGTCATGTGCTACTGTTACAGAGACCACCATACCATCTGTAGCCGCTACAGACGCCGCGCCAGCTGTAGCAGTGGACGAGAGCAACGTCTCGACTGCTCTTGGCACAGCCACGTATGTGACTGCCACGTATCGTCTCTCTATTGGTGGACCGACAATATCAGCATCAGCAGAAGCAGGATCAAGAGAAACAGCAATAAGAGAAGCAGCTGCAGCAGCAGCAGCGGCGGCGGCGGCAGTGAGAGAGCTTGTTGCAAGGCTGAGCGGCTCGCCATCCGTGGTGGCTGCATTTGTTTCTGGGGCAGGTGCATCTGAGGCAGGTGCATCTGAAACAGGTGCATCTGAGGCAGGTGCATCCACAACAGGCGCTGTGCTGGATGCGCTGGGGCGAGAGGTGGAGAGGGCTTGGGGAAGGGGAGGAGGAGAAGGGAGCGCGGGAGGGGAGAGCATTCCTTTCTTTGGGTGCGTGGTTGGTGGCAGCATGGCGCATGGGCCATGGGGCGGCGAGGGGGAGATCATGGGGGAGGCCCTCACAGGTAGAGTAGGCCGTAGCGATGCGCATGGCATGGGGAACCACAGCAGGGATGATGCTGATGCTGATGAGGGTGAGGGGGAGGGGGAGGGAGAGGGAGAGGCATTGGAGTGGGAGGAGGTGGTGATGGCGGCGGCAGCGGACGAGGTGATAGAAGGCGTGGTGCTGCTGGAGCTGATTGAAGACGCCGACCACATCATCCGGGAAATGGCCGCTTTTGCCCGGCACGAGGAGGGAACGCAGCTGGGCGAGGAGGACACGCAGGAGAGGCACGAGGCAGGGAAGGTGACTGGGGAGCTCAACTGCGGCCAGTTCAGCCCTGCGGCTTCCCCTGTGACCGCCTCCTCTGTTCTCTCCGCTCCTCCTTTCGCAGAACCCTCTAACTCGTTTGCTGAGTCTATCCGAGCAATCACAGAGGGCCACGTGGCACAATCTGAGGGCGCGGTTACCCAGCGCCTGGAGGCAGCTTCCAGGAGATTTCTGGGGCTTGCAGAGGGCCTGCAGACGCGTTTAGAGGCGCCTCAGTACAAGCTGCAGGGGCTTGCGGACTCCATACAGGAGCGAATCTGGCCCAACAATGGAACCGTGCAAGGAAAAGAGTTGCTGTCAGCAAGAGGAGCTGTTTCGTCTAGAGGGGATGGTGTGACAGAGAGGCTGGAGGGGAGAGGAGAGGAAGAGCGGGAGGTGGTGGTGGTGGTGTGCGCTGCTGCCATGCCCGGTGTGGACGTGCAGGCCTTTGAGGTTGAGGGAGACGCGTTTCCGGATCTGGGCGGCAACATGGCGCACATGGTGACAAGCAACGCCGCCCATTTTGTGGTTGCAGGGACGGGAGGTAAGGGGCTGATGTGATGTTATCAGTGCACTCTCACAGGCCTGCAGCCACATGACTACCCATTCACCTCACCCCCTCTCCTTCCTTCGCTGCACTTTCTTGCCCATCAACCTCCCTCTCGCCCGCTCCCCGCACCTGTCTCTCCCCCATTGTTGCCGCCCCTCCCTGCAGGCCCGTCACTGCCCAGGCTTCTCACCCGCCTGCACACCATCTTCCCCCACTCCTCCAGGTAACCCCGCCTAACCCCTTCTCCTCGCCCCATTCCTCCTGGTCCCATCCCATCCCTCTCACCCCGCCATGTGGTGGCTTTCCTCGCCATGCCACATTGCATGCAACCTTTTCTGCCAATCACGTGCCACATATCATGCGCCATTGACTGACTCGCATGTCTTTGCCGCCACCGTCCGTCCGTTCTGCCTCTCCCCCCACAGGGCATCGCTGCTCACCCACAACCATGCTGTCCACATGCACCGCGCCTGCGCGGCGTCGCCCCCAAACGGCTCCACTGCCGGCCTCTGCTTCTCCCTCAGCCCCTCTGGTAACCACCCGCTGCTTGCGCCCCTCTGGTAACCACCCGCTGCTTGCGCCCCTCACACCTGTGACCTCTACATTCTCAGGCGTTTTTGAAGTCGGTCATCTGTTGCTGCATCCAGCACCGTCTCTCATGTTCCTGGCGCTCATGTATCCATCCTTGTGCATCTTCCCTCCCTTTTCCTGTTGGGCCTCTCCCCCCGTTCTCCCTCCCCCTGTGCCTCCTTTCCTGCCTCCTCCCTGCCTGCACCAGCGGAGCAGCAGAGCAGCGATGCCCTACAAGCGTGCTTCACGCACTTCATCCGCCACCTCACCCTCCCCCTCCCCCCTGCCGCGAGCCTCCGTGCCTCCTCCTCACCTCCCTCGCTCACCACTGCATCTGCTGCTCCGAGCATGGACATGCCTGCAAGGGCCATTGCACCGCCTGCCCCCTGGATTCGTGTCAAGTAAGCTCCTGCACACCTTGCCAACCCAGTTTCCAAACGCGACTTACTTGTTGCTTCTAAAAATTCCACTCATCTCTTACTACCTTGCAGTTGCCCCACCTCAATGTCCCTCCTCCACTGCTTTTCGCCGCCCGTTCGTCTCCTCACATAATAACCTTTTTCCCCTCCATGTGTTCCCCATCACTTAATTGCTGGCAGCAATCTCCTGGGGGCCTCTTTGCAAGCTCTGTTGAACCCAAATGCCACCAAGCTTGCCCACGAGCAAAAAGCAGCTGAGACGTGTGTGGCGACTAACATGTAGTGGTATCATATGATGACATACATGAAGTGTTTCTTACATCATGAAGCTTTTCGCAACAACAAAGGGCGTGTTCCTCTCAACAGGGGAACCTCTTGCCAGGCTTGCATCGCACCGCTCTTTATCTCATTCAATTGCAATAAAAATATTGGACCGCACAAGTCGACAAGGGGTGCCACTGATACCGTAAGAGGCGTAGGAGCACGCCCAAAGACACCAGTTGGCAGTGGATTCATACGGTACTACCTGAATTGTTTGTCACAACAAGTGCAACACCATAAAACGGTAGAAGAGATCTAGAGGAGAAGAAAGGCATACTGCAAGCGGCCATTGTATGAAAATCAGTAGGGTACACATTAGAGAAAGCAATACAGGAAGAGATCTACAGGCAGGGATCTATTGGCTTGACTACCAAAGCAATCAATACCAGCAACAAGGCAAACGAGAAGAATCGCCTCCTGTGCTGCAAAGGCAAGTCACAAAGGGCATTCACAGGGGCAATTCACAAAGGCCAGGGTCAGTGTCAGTTGGGTAGGCCAGGAGGAGCCTGGGTAGGTACTGAAGGTAGAGGGAGGTTGAGGGAGGTTGAGGGAACATACCGGCAGCGGCAAATGGAGGAAGTCAGGAGGGTGTGAGGCTGAGAGGGAGATGTAAGGCAGCGGAACAGTATGGGGTAGGTGTGGGGGTAAGTGTGATGAGAGGTAAGTTGCTGGAGGGGCGAGGGATGAGGGATGAGAAAATGAGGTGTGACCAGGCCTGGAGATGACAAGGGAGGGGGATGTGAAGCTGAGAGGGAGATGTAAGGCAGTCAAACACTAAGGGGTATTTGTGATGAGAGGTAAGTTGCTGGAGGGGGGAGGGAGGGGAAGGGGAGGGGAATGAGGGATGAGAAAATGAGGGGTGACCAGGGGTGTGGAGATGACGGCGGGGGGGAGGGCGGACTGGGGACAAAGGAGGATGAGTGGGAGACGAGAAGAGGGGCGCGAGGGGGAGACGAGCGGAAGGTGGGGGAAGATGAGGGAAGAGCGGGGGGGGATGAAGGGGGGCGTTGAGAGAAGAGCGAAGGGGGGCGGGGGGAGGGAGGGACGAGGGGAGAGCGGGGAGAGGTGAAAAATGTCCTTCCCCACCCTCCCCTGCATCCCACCAACCCCGCTTACCTCTCTCCTTTCCCTTTCTTTACTGCCTTGCGTGTGAGCGATCCAAAGAAATGTGCCTTCGCTTCATCGCCTGGCAATACCGACGCTATTCACGCGCCTACGAACCGAAACTATCAATGCCGTCCGCATGGTAAGTACATATTTTATGGAATGAACAAGTTGCAAGTCGATACTAATAATGTGTGCGCAAATGGTCTTTTATGCGCCCGCAAATCGACGCTATAATCCACCCGCAAATTAACAATACAACTCGGGCCGCAATGCATCCACCAAAAAAGTCGTACTACTGGCTACTGTACGAACATCTGCAGCACGCAAATGGCAATTCGTACTTCACTACGTGAAGCGCCTACTATCAGACTACGGCTAGAACGGGCAACTGACTCTACCTACGGTTCTAAGTCTTAACTTGCGCGATCTGGGAAGCCATGCGAGTTGTAAACCAAGAAGCGCTTAGATCTAGCAGACTGAACTGAAATGCTGGAAAAGTAAAAACTGAACTGAACGGAAAAGGTACTTCACAGAACTGCAGGTAGGTCCGAGCGAGAGCTGCTGGGATGGTGGGTGGTTGTGCGACTGTGACGGAAGCACCCGCGATTTCTATTGGCTCGCGTGCCTTTTTATCCCAACCACACCTCGCTATTTCAGCTGCCCGAACCTGGTTCACACAGGCAGCCAAGCGGGTTGCTACAGCAGCCAACTTCGCAAAACTCCAGCCAAATATAAATTTCGCCCCAAAACTACACCATCCCCGCACCTCACGCAAAACTCAACTATTTGCGCGTCACGACAGCCTCCTCCTAGAAAGTTCCTAGCTGTCCCAGCCACGAACTTGTGCACAAACCCGCGCGCTGATGATACGCGCCTTGAGACGTTTCGATTGCAGCAACACAATGAATTCAAACTCAACATGTACAACAGAGCAGTAAACTCTACATGTGCAGAGCAGTGAACTGTACATGTGAACTTGACACTGTTCAGATTGTGCTGCAATCGAGTTTGCGCGTGTGCAGAGCAGAACCAATTTCAGCCGCCTCACTGACATTACAGTATCTATGTGGGCCCACAGTACAGTCATCATGAACTGTACCATCCCAATCTCGAAAATCCCCACCGTTGATAGCAACTAGATATCTCCACCACCATCGAGTAAATCCAACCAACCAATGCCAACACTTCCCACACTCTGGCCCAGGATAACCTGCCGTATCGCACCCCGCTGCAACCAGCACCAACGCATCAAATTCGAACTGGACGCGCGTTCTGCCACGCGCGGCGGCCTGCGCCAAACACAACCCCTTCTCCTTCTCTGTTTCCTTCCGCAAGCTTTCTGCTCTCGACTTGTTCGATCAATCCTCCACTGAAAGAGCTGCCGTGTCGCACCCCACTGCACCCAGCAGCACATAACTTTTCGAACTGAAGGCGCGCTTCTGTCGCGCGGGGCGGCCTGCGCCGAACACCATGCTCGAATCGAGTTCATTGGTGCATCTCCTGCCTGACTTGATTTTTGAGCACATGAAACAGCTTCTCTGTCTTCTCCTGCAGCCTGTTCGCTCACAGCGAGCATCCCATACCCCCCAACCAAAACACAGTCAAGTACCATCAATGGAGTCCATTTTCAGATTTATCCTTCGCGATTCCACTTGAAGGATCTTCACAAGAACTTCTCCTACCATATACGGACTTTAGGCTACAAGCTCCAAGGAGCAGTTTGTGATTAATGAAGCCACCCGGCTCGTACAAGAGGAAGCACTTGGCATGCTGCAGCTGGGTGGGATGGGTTGGGTAGCTTAGAGAGTCGCAAAGCTGCGCTGCCTCGAGCTGATCCTTGTACGACGCCGAGGTTCTCGCGGCGTGGTCTTTCACCGCGAGAACTCCCGTTAAAAACGCCACTGCAGCTTGAGCTGCACTCAAGACTCCCCCCCCCCCGTGTGGTCTTCACAAGGCTCCCCCGTGTGGTCTTCACAAGAATTCCTGTGGTCTTCACAAGACTCCCCCGTGTGGCCTTCTTCCCGGGTGGCCTTCTTCCTGTGTGGCCTTCTTCCCGGGTAGCCTTCTTCCCGAGTGGCCTTCTTCCCGTGTGGCCTTCTTCCCGTGTGGCCTTCTTCCTGTGTGGCCTTCTTCCCGAGTGGCCTTCTTCCCGTGTGGCCTTCTTCCCGTGTGGCCTTCTTCCCGGGTGGCCTTCTTCCCGAGTGGCCTTCTTCCCGTGTGGCCTTCTTCCCGGGTGGCCTTCTTCCCGCGTGGCCTTCTTCCCGTGTGGTCTTCAATCTCCTCCCGTGTGGGCTTCAATCCGTGTGGTCTTCAACCCGTGTGGTCTTCAATCCGTGTGGTCTTCAATCCGTGTGGTCTTCAATCCGTGTGGTCTTCAATCCGTGTGGTCTTCAATCCGTGTGGTCTTCAATCCGTGTGGTCTTCAATCCGTGTGGTCTTCTATCCGTGTGGTCTTCAATCCGTGTGGTCTTCAATCCGTGTGGTCTTCAATCCGTGTGGTCTTCAATCAAAACTCTCGTGGAGGTAAGTTCAGTTCACCTCTTTCCTTCTCGCTTTAACGTCGTCACCTCGCTTCAGCTCATCTCGCCGCTCATCTCGGGTGAGTTCAATGTTACCTTCTTCTCGCTCACGCATTGCGACGGCGAGGCGACCTTGACGCTTCACACGGCGGCGTCAATGGCAGCTTGATGGTTTGACCGTCGCTAGTGGAGCTTCGGTTTCAGCTTGGTAAGGCACCCGCTTTTAATGTTTTTCGTCGTTTTATTGTTCTTCGTCGCTTTTATGTTCCTCGCTTTGTTGATCTTTATATCTAAGTTTTAGCTAACCATGTAAGTTGATACATGCAGTAAGCGAAGCGGCCCGTTGGTGGAGCTTCACTCGGCGACTGACGGTGCTTCCGGCGCTTCCGCGATTGACGGCGGCGCTTCCGTGGTGCGGCGTCGCTCGGCGGTTGGCGACGCTTCTCTCGTCGCGCGGCGCTTCGTGCGGCTCTCGGCGACGCGTCTCGTCGCGTGGCGGCACTTCTCCTTTTCGTCGTCGTTTTTCCTCGTTAATTGCTGTTTTCTGTTTGGCTTTTTTATCATTCGGATCTGACCGTGCTCGTTGCTTCATGCAGTTAGTGAAGGGCCCGTTTTGGGGCTTCGCACGGCGACTGGCGGCGTTTCTTCTTCCGTGAAGCGGCCATTGGCGCGGCTCTTGGCGACGCCTCTCCCACCGCACGGCGATTGGCACGGCGCTTCGCTCGGCGGTTGGCGACGCTTCTCCCGTCGCTCGGCGGTTGGCGACGCTTCTCCCGTCGCTCGGCGGTTGGCGACGCTTCTATCGTCGCTTGGCGGTTGGCGACGCTTCTCTCGTCGCGCGGCGCTTCGTGCGGCTCTCAGCGACGCGTCTCGTCGCATGGCGCCACTTCTCTTTTTCGTCGTCGTTTCTTCACGTTAATTGCTGTTTTCTGTTTGGCTTTTTTTTCATTCGGATCTGACCGGGCTCGTTGCTTCATGCAGTTAGTGAAGGGCCCATTTTGGAGCTTCGCACGGCGACTGGCGGCGTTTCTTCTTCCGTGGAGCGGCCATTGATGCGGCTCTTGGCGACGCCTCTCCCTCCGCACGGCGATTGGCACGGCGCTTCGCTCGGCGGTTGGCGACGCTTCTCCCGTCGCTCGGCGGTTGGCGACACCTCTCCCGTCGCTCGGCGGTTGGCGACGCTTCTATCGTCGCTTGGCGGTTGGCGACGCTTCTCTCGTCGCGCGGCGCTTCGTGCGGCTCTCGGCGACGCGTCTCGTCGCATGGCGCCACTTCTCTTTTTCGTCGTCGTTTCTTCACGTTAATTGCTGTTTTCTGTTTGGCTTTTTTTTCATTCGGATCTGACCGTGCTCGTTGCTTCATGCAGTTAGTGAAGGGCCCGTTTTGGAGCTTCGCACGGCGACTGGCGGCGTTTCTTCTTCCGTGGAGCGGCCATTGATGCGGCTCTTGGCGACGCCTCTCCCTCCGCACGGCGATTGGCACGGCGCTTCGCTCGGCGGTTGGCGACGCTTCTCCCGTCGCTCGGCGGTTGGCGACACCTCTCCCGTCGCTCGGCGGTTGGCGACGCTTCTATCGTCGCTTGGCGGTTGGCGACGCTTCTCTCGTCGCGCGGCGCTTCGTGCGGCTCTCGGCGACGCGTCTCGTCGCATGGCGCCACTTCTCTTTTTCGTCGTCGTTTCTTCTCGTTCATTGCCGTTTTCTGTTCGGCTTTTTTTTCATTCGGATCTGACCGTGCTCGTTGCTTCATGCAGTTAGTGAAGGGCCCGTTTTGGAGCTTCGCACGGCGACTGGCGGCGTTTCTTCTTCCGTGGAGCGGCCATTGATGCGGCTCTTGGCGACGCCTCTCCCTCCGCACGGCGATTGGCACGGCGCTTCGCTCGGCGGTTGGCGACGCTTCTCCCGTCGCTCGGCGGTTTGCGACACTTCTCCCGTCGCTCGGCGGTTGGCGACGCCTCTCTCGTCGCGCGGCTTTTCGTGCAGCTCTCGGCGACGCGTCTCGTCGCATGGCGGCACTTCTCTTTTTCGTCGTCGTTCCTTCACGTTAATTACTGTTTTCTGTTTGGTATCATTCGGATCTGACCGTGCTCGTTGCTTCATGCAGTTAGTGAAGGGCTCGTTTTGGAGCTTCGCACGGCGACTGGCGGCGTTTCTTCTTCCGTGGAGCGGCCATTGGCGCGGCTCTTGGCGACGCCTCTCCCACCGCACGGCGATTGGCACGGCGCTTCGCTCGGCGGTTGGCGACGCTTCTCCCGTCGCTCGGCGGTTGGCGGATCGGCGAACCTTGGAGCAAAGGAGTGGCGGAGCTGCGCTGGAGTTTGACTACTTTCCCCTCCCATTCATTCCCCCTTTTCCCCCCCTCCCCCTCTCCCCCTCCCCCAGTACCCC